TTTTTTGAAAAATTGTGTTATTTACATGTTTAACATGTTTGGAAGTTGAGCTTTATAGCCTGAAAAAGTCGATGATGATACTCAACGCTAGACGCGAGATAGAAAACTAAAAAAATTGTGAATTAAATAGAGAGTGACTGGGCTGCAATGCAATGTTTTCGTGGACAAGAAAAAATCCGGTTACAACCTATCTGCTCTAAACATACTCATATTATGTGCTTAAATCGTTTCCTCCGGAAGGTATCTGCATACTGTGCGAGAAGAGTTGTATCTGCGAATTTGAAGGGGTTTTATATGCGCAGTCAGTATGCTGACTGAAAACTTGTCCGATCCAATCAGCCTAACCAACTTCGGTGCGCCGAAAAAATTTCGAAGAACAGGCGTGCTTTCTACACCAAGATGTCATCGAAGATGAGATTTTTGAAGGAAAATGGAGAACTTATCTGTGCAGAGAAAAGAATTAATTATTTTTAATATATCCATCTCCTGAAACGTCGGAGGAGAAGGAGAGGAGGGAATTGCCGTCTTTAAAATTGTTATTGTTTCGATCGGCGCATATGCTGGGAGAAGTCGGGATCATCATGAAAAGGAAAAAAGAAAAATTCTCGTCGCTATGAGAGAGGTACTCGTTGAAATATTGGAATAGAGTGACATTAATCATTGAAACAAGAAGATTTTTAGCTGGGACAATGAAACTTCATTTATTTTTGTTTTTGTTTTAACGAAGCATTTTGGGTTGCATTGACCAGACTTATTTCATACAAACTGGCGAATTTTCGGTATAACATCGAAGGCTTATTATTTGTAATGAATTATTCTTGGTTGCGTTGATCAAATATATCTTAGCAAAACTAATGAAGTTTTGTAGTCATGATTCCAATGTCTCTTGGTTTAATGAAAAACTTCTATAGAAAAATGGTTTTTCTCAGTGTGCCGTAAACATTTTTGGTTCCATCCAAAATATTCTAAAAGAGGTTTTTCAACGGAAAAAATATCCACTTAAATGTCATCTGACAAGTCACTATTGAGATTAGAAAGTATACACTTCTCTTGAAAAAAAGGGGGAAACATTTGATCGGTCGAGCAGAAAAGGGAAAGTATCAAGAGAACTACTTGAAATGTTAAAGTTTCGTTTTTCTGATTTATTTGTGAGTCATGTTAAATTTTTTTTTTTTCCCAAACAAGTCTTTAAAACATTAGCCAACTAGATTTATGTAAGTGAGCATATGTTTTGCTCATAAATCCACTTCCCTTCACCTTGCTAACAATTTGGAGTATTTTTTAAGTAAACTCATGAGTTAGTTTTCCAATGTATATCCGTACGAGATACGTGAAATTAGGCATCTTACATGCCCCTTTTTCTTCCGATGAAAGATTAAAATATTTTCAAAAACTATGAAAGCATGTAATAGATGTGATTTTGTGTCAAAGTTATACATTTTTGGATGGGTTGGAATTGACGTAAATATTAACGGGTGCAACACTTGCAGCACGGCATGTAAAGCCTATATTGCGAAGGAGAGGACTCCTCATTTTCGCATGCAGTCAGGAGGGAAAATAATGGAGATTGCATTGAGAGTTGAAGCCATTATTAGGTGTGCTTCGAAAAAGGAGCTCCTTCATTTAACAGAGTAGACAGAAACACTCCTCAGAAGTGGTAATAGTTATCTACCCGATCATTTCGAGCTTAGCACGAGATGTCGATGTAATCTCGTAAAATTGCATCTTGATTGTGTTAAGTTGTGAGCGTGCGGGGAACTGCACGGTTGTTAGGCGCTGAAAATGGCTGATGCTTAGGCGTTATGAGAAAAATTCGAAGAGCATCTCCGTATGGAAATTGCGCCTTGTTTCTGAGGAGAAAAAGTCACCACTTTGCATAGCGAAGTAACTAGGGGAAGGATTAAACTAACGCAAGCCCTGTTTCTTGCTGTACACGATGAACATATCAAAAGCTGCCAAATTAGACTTTTCGGCGAGTAAATGGCGTTGATAGTTAATATTAAAATCACTCTTTTCCAATAAATAAATAAATAAATAAATAAATAAAAAAACCCAAAAATAAACGTGGATTAGATAGTGAGATTGCGCATCGAAAACAAAGTGATCTGCTCAACAGTCAACACGAGTTTAATTAAGTTCATAATAAAACATTTTATTGAGGAATTGGAAATATTATTTTTTTTTTTTTTTACTTACGAACTAAATTTGGAAATTTCAGTGAGTCCCTCGCAGAGAAATTTAAAGCAAGAAAATCACGAACAATTTTGACGAGAAATCATGCAGGAGATGCTGAATGTAAAAATGAAATGAAATGAAAGGTGACGAAAAAATTGGAGGCGTTCCCACATTATGAAGCCTACACTGAGTTGACTGCAGCGCCTTAATGCAACTATTCGTGTTCCACGGATGTGCGTGTTGCATGTAAAAAATTGAAGGCACTTTCGTTTTTCTCACTCCTGTCCGGACTTGATATTTGCAGCACCCAAATAACTGAGTGTGTATGTAGAGGAAGATTGTCATTGAGTCATTTTAAGTTGTTGATTTTTTACCATCGTTTTGTGCCGATTAAGTTGTTTTTCATTAGGCAGAGAAACTTGGTATTGCATCTAAATCCTTTCACTACAAAAAAAAGTGCTGCTCTCTGATTGGTAAACGAATTGCAGGCTTTCATGGATATTTTGATTTCCAGTTAGTCATTTCCAATAATCCTCCAATAATTTCTGAACAAAATTTGATTATTTTCGCCGAGGATGATCCTTTTTTTGTCAGTTTTATTCATCTCTCTCTCTCTCTCTCGATAAAACGAATTTCTTTTAATCGATTTTATCAACTCGGATACCGGGTTTGTAAAAAAAAACGTGAATTGTAAACTTGATTCATACGTAACCTGTATTTTTTTTATGAATCGCACTAGTTTTTCTTTTGAAATTTTTAGGTTTCATTAAAAATCTCGAGAAATATACTTCAAAAATGGTCAGAGTGAGACATTTATCGGTAAAACTTTGGATTGCAGCTAAAATTGATGATGAGCTAATGTAATTTTCAAACTCTAGACCGGCCAGTCCACGAGCTTTCTGCCCATCTCACGGACTGGGCAAAAATACAGGACGGTTCGCGGATTGGGCAATTTTTCCAACGGGACGTGACGTATCCACTACAGTAAATATCGATGGTGGAACTACCAAATCATGTATCTCGGTTTGCGACGTGACACACTGGAAAAAACACACATTGGATTCAGAGTCCAGACTCTTGTAAACATTGACCAGAAAAAATACTCCTGATTCAATCGGACTTTTGCTTAAATCAAAACGAAATCCGCTTAAATTAAGAGGCTTGGTTCTTGATTTAAGCTGGATTCTGATTGAATCAAGAGTACTTTTTCTTGTCCATGTTTTTAAGAGTCTGGACCAGGGTCGGACTGACTCGCATCTGAGGGCGTAAACCTGTGGCTGGTTAAAGGGGCGTAATTTTATATTTCCTGGTAGGGCATTCTCTACGTGGAGAGGGATTCAGACAATTTTGGCAAATCAACACAAGTTTCCGCTATTTTCAGTTTCAAAGTTTATTGATCGCACGGAGAAAAAATTGCAAAATTGAACGTGAAGCACGGCATTAAGAGCTCACGCTTCGCGTCATCGGGCCTTCAATTTTTCAGATGCAGCACGGACGTCCATCAAGTACGAATAGTTGTATCTCTGCGCTGTCATTAACGCGCATCCTTTCCCTCGCTTTATTTCCATAGTGCGTTTCTTTCCGTTTGTCTTATTCGTAATGGTGCTTTAAGCACTACGTGAGTAACACAGCCAAAGGTAAGATAAATGTGTTCGGGCATCTTTGTTAACTTTTCTCCCGAATCCGAGCGACACCTCATTGACAACATGCAGCAGAGCATTGAGAGCCCACGCGTCGCGTCATCGCGCCTTCAATTTTTCACATGCAGCACGGACGTCCATCAAGTACGAATAGTTGTATCTCTGCGCCGTCGTTAACGCGCATCCGTTCCCTCGCTCTATTTCCATATTGTGTTTGTTTGCGTTTGTCTTATTCGTAACGTTGCTTCAAACTCCTCGCATCTCGCAAACTCGACATGTAGTTTGGTGGTTTTATCGTGAAATTCATGGAATGTACCTATCTCCTTCATATCGTATCACCCAGATTTTCAACCTTCGATCAAAAAACAGAACGTTACGGAATCCTTTTAGCGCAAAACTGAGAGAGGGATTCCGTGGGTCAACCATACTGCCGTGATAAAAAAGAACGCCGTATGAACATTCAAGAGCTGTCAAATTTCCTTCGATAAAATGTTAATTTTTTGGGAAATTTATGAATATTTGTCCTTCAAATTTTCAAAATCTTCAGGTAAAATTGTGAGCTAAATTATCTGAAAAATCGGGAGGAAAATATTCATACATTTATCAGAAAATTCACATTTTATGAGCGGAAATTTGGCAACGCCTGAATGTTCATACGACGTTTTGCCTTAGCACGGCAGCATACGAGTGGGGTCGCAATGGCTCTCCTCGCATGTTTCCAGGATACGAAACGCGGGCAAGAATCTGCAGAATAAGCTAGTCCTCGTGCGAAACGGGGAACAGCATGCCTCGGAGTAAAACAGAAGCCTTCCAACGGCAATCTAAGAATATTCATCACGCAAGTGGCATGGCACTGCATCGCGGAGCCCTCGCATCACGCTCAGCGTCGGTAACTCATTCAACCCCCGGGAGGAGGCGGATTGCGGTTAGGTTTTCGAGGAACCCAAAAATCCGACGGGATTTTATTGTCGCATTGTTTGGAAACTCGGCTCTGTGTCCATTCCAACCTACCCCGGCCGGCGGACAATAGAGCGTTCAAAGCCGCACACGGCGAGATCATCTTCCCATCTTCCCGTTTTACCCCCCTCCTCGCGGGCACCCCGGCGCCGCCCAGAACGTGGCGCTCTCTCGCGGACGCGGGCGCACTATCGAGTTAATGCCCCGAATGCAGTGCGCTGCGCGCTCGCGATCCTGAATTCAGTGCTGCCCGTTCGATGCCCGAGCCAACATGTCGAAGGGACCGCGCGCGCTTCCGTGAGATTTCGAAACGGATCCAACTCAGATTTTGTTTTCAATCAAGTGCTCAAAGTTTCTAACGAATCCCCCCTGTTTCAAATGTAATTTATCCCGCAAATTTTATGTTCTTAACGACTAGTGTTCCGAAATCAGTGAAATCAACCCCGCGTTTTGAAATTTGTTCGTATTTTTCCCCGGTTGTTTTGAGTTTTGTGTGTTGTGCTTAACGCTCCTGGAATTTTATTTCGCCGGTGCTATGGATACGATTTTGGATTCGCCCTGCCTCGGAGGATTTTAGTGTGTGCGTGTTTGCCGATATTTCTCGCGCCGTGTATTTATGAAACGGAAAAAGAGGAAAAAGCATCTTGTCCGTTGAAAGCGCGAATGTTTCTCTTATTTTCGCCTGTGATGTTTTGATTGTGTTTTTTATTTATTCTATCCCCGCTAAATTATTTCCACCGGACTGGAAATATTTATTTTCACTCGTTTAGTTATTAAAACTTGTCTACCAATGCGTGCGCGGTAGCAATCGATTTTTAAATTTAAATGTTGATCTGAGTATTCTTTAGAGCCTCTTTTTGGCTCCGCAAAATGAGACTGATGGGAAACATGAGGGAGCGAGTGATTAAACAAACTAGTCAACTTGCACTATTAGTTTTGAATTTTTTAGCGTGCGCTCTGGCAAGCGAACCTTGCAACGTATTCCTCGAGCCCAATGCAACTTCGAGCAAGTTGTCCGCGCTTTGCAAACTCCCAACGATCCCCCGGGAGTTGATTCTGCCGGAGAGCGATAATGTGATCAAACTCAGATTGGAGTGCAACCAGGATATCCACGCCGAAAGTTTCATCTACCTGAGCCTCCTCTCGCATTTCAACCAAATCGAAGAGTTCAACCTCACCAACTGCAAAGTCGCCGAGATATCCGAGAATGTGTTCAGCCAGAGCCCTGGCCTCAAAAAGCTCACCGTCAACTCTCGAAACTTCGACTGGTCACCGACGAAATCCCTGAGGATCAAGAGCAGGAGTTTCCGACCTTTGAAGGAGCTCCATCACCTGGACCTGAGTTTCAATAACATGGACTCGCTGCCGGACGGCGTGTTTTGCCCGTTGAAAAAGCTGCAGCATTTGAATTTATCCAACAACGCCATCGCAGATATAACAAGGCTGGGACTCTCGGCGAAGAAATGGGCCCCTCCTCGCGTGTCGAGCCCGCGACCCACGACATCGGAGGGCGACACGGACGGGGAGGGCACCACCGAGTGCCATGGCGGCAGTGAACTTCGAACTTTAGACCTCTCGGCCAACCGCATCCAAAGCCTCGCCGAGCTTTCCGACGTTTCGAAATTCAAGCGGCTCCACACCCTCCTTTTGAACGACAATCTTATCACCGAGATCCCGAAAAACGCCTTCTCAAGCCTTCACAACGTGCATATCCTTAACCTCACAAACAACAACATCCAAACTTTGACGGAGAACGTGTTCACCAACTGCAAAGAGCTTCAGGAAATCCATTTGCAGAATAATTCTCTGGCGCAACTGCCGAAGGGGCTGTTGAATCATTTAAACAAGCTTTTAATACTCGACTTATCATCGAATCAACTGACTTCCAATCAAATAGACGAGTCCACGTTCGTCGGCCTTATCAGGCTCATTGTCCTGAATCTCTCCAGCAACAGGCTGACGCGCATCAACTCCAAAACGTTCAAGGACTTGCTTTTCCTTCAGATCTTGGATTTACACAACAACTCGATCGGTTTCATCGAAAACGACTCGTTCCTGCCGTTGTACAACTTGCACACTTTGAACTTGAGCAATAATCGTCTGCACCACGTGACCTCCAATCTGCTCAACGGGTTGTTCGTTCTCACCAAGTTGAACTTGAACAATAATTTAATCACGACCGTCGATGAGATCGCCTTCAGGAACTGTTCCGATCTGAAAGAGCTTGACCTCAGCTCGAACGCCATCTCTGAGCTTCCAACGGCGCTAACCGACCTGTCCTTCCTGAAGTCTCTCGATCTGGGCGAGAATCAGATCTCGGAGATTAAACCGAACTCTTTTAAAAATATGGCCCAATTGACGGGGCTTCGGCTGATAGACAACAGCATAGGAAACTTGACGAAAGACATGTTCGTCGACTTGCCCAATCTCCAAGTTCTGAACTTGGCCAAGAATAAAGTGCAATCGATCGAGCGCGGGACTTTCGACAAGAACGTCCAGATCGAAGCCATCCGGTTGGACTATAATTACTTGCAAGACATCAACGGCGTGTTTTCTAGCCTCGTGTCATTGCTATGGCTGAATCTGTCTGATAATCATTTAGTTTGGTTCGATTACGCGTTCCTGCCGACGAATCTGAAGTGGCTTGATATCCACAACAACTACATCGAGAAATTGGGTAACTATTACAAAATTATGAACGAACTCCAATTGAAAACCCTTGATGCTAGTTACAACAGGATCGTCGAGTTGAACGAGCTGTCCATACCGAACAGCGTCGAGATAATGTTTGTGAACAACAACATGATCAGGAAAATCGAAACAAACACGTTTTTCGACAAGAAAAATCTGGCGCGTGTGGATATTTACGCCAATGAGCTGTCGCGACTGGAGTTGAATTCATTGCGCCTGGATAAACTATCCGAAGACCGGAACATCCCTGAATTTTACATAGCCGGCAACCCCTTCGTGTGTGACTGCAACATGGACTGGCTCCCGGCGATCAACAACATGACGCACCTGCGCCAGTACCCGAAAATCATGGACTTGAGTAACATCGTGTGCCAAATGACAACTTCACGCGGTACGCAAAACTTGCAAATGTCCACGAGCATGAAGACAAACGAGTTTCTGTGCAGGTACGAGACCCATTGTTTCGCCCTGTGCCACTGCTGTGACTTCGACGCCTGCGATTGCGAGATGACGTGTCCTTCCAACTGCACTTGCTACCACGACCAAACCTGGAACACGAATCTGGTCGATTGCTCCAACCAGAATTTGAACCATATCTCTGATAAAATTTCCATGTACGCATCCCATGTCTATTTGGACGGCAACAATTTCGCGGAGCTTTCCAACCACCTGTTCATTGGCCGTAAAAACCTCAAAGTGCTGTTTTTCAACAACAGCAACATCCAAACCATCCGGAACAACACTTTCAACGGTCTAAGCACGCTGCAAACGCTCCACTTGGAGCACAACTCCCTCGTCACACTTTACGGCAACGAATTTGAAAATCTTTACAATCTGAAGGAATTATACCTGAACAACAACAAGTTAGCTTACATCAACAACATCACCTTCCAAAACTTGCGCTCGTTAGAACTGTTGAAGCTGCACGATAATCAGCTGATGCATTTCAACTTCGTGCTCTTGAATTTCTACAACAGTCACCTGATAAAAGTCTCCCTCCACGATAACCCGTGGTCGTGCGATTGCACTCATCTCCAGGACCTGGCCACTTACATCTCGAATAACTACAACCAAATCGAGAACGTGAACGCCATCAACTGCTACTACAACAACAGCAGCAACAACCTGGTCAAAAACATCATCAACTGGAACAACACAGCGTGCATCGACTTCCCGGCCAGCTCCATCATCCGCAACATCATCGTCTCGGATTATTTCATCGTCGTCGTCTCGTCGCTCATCCTCCTCTTCCTCGTGCTCGCGATCCTCTTCGTCCTCTTCCGCGACTCCTTCAAGTACTGGCTCTTCAACAACTACAACATCAAAATCTTCAAGTTCAAACACTACAACAGCGGTCAAATGACCAACAAGTACTATCTGGAGGACCGGGACAAACTTTACGACGCCTACGTCGTGTACAGCGCCCTGGACGAAAACGAATTCGTCCTGCGGAGCGTGTGCAACGAGCTGGAACCGACGTACCAGATCTGCCTGCACTACCGGGACCTGCCGGCCATCAACACGGCCTCCTCCCCGTACCTGCAGAACAGCCTGACGTCGGTCATCATAGAGGCGGCCGAGGCCAGCAAGCGAATCATCCTCGTCGCCACCAAGAACTTCCTCCAGAACGAGTGGCTCAAGTTAGAGTTCAAGAACGCGCTCCTGGAGTGCCTCAAAGGGCGCATCTTCAAGCTCATCATCATCGAGGACGCCAACTCCAACCTCAACAACGTAGACAACGACTTTAGACTGTATTTCAAGAGCTGCACCAGGCTCAAGTACAACGAGAAGAAGTTCTGGGACAAGCTCAAGTACTCGATGCCCAATAACAATCATAGCGGCACGCGGCATACCAAGAAAGCGTGCAATAACTACAACAGGAAGAACATAAACAATTATACGATAGAGTCGACGACGAACAGCGTGGCCAGCAACCACTCGCGGCGGCATCAGCACTACATCAACGATAAGAACCACCAGCAGCAGTTGCATCATCACCAGCATCACCACCAGCAGCACCCGCTGGCGGCGCACCCGCTCTTCCGGCCGGTGATCGGCAACGGGGACCTGGTGCCGGTGGTACCGATGCCCGTGCCGGTGGTACCCGTCTACGGCGGGAGCGAGATGGTCGCCATGCCGAATTCGAGGCACTCGGTCGACAAGTCGCACTCGGCCCGGCAGCTCTCGGGCGACTCGTCGGCGGACTACTCTTCGGCGACGACGGCCACCCCCTCGCCACGGCCCAGCTCCGACCATATCTACTCGTCCATCGACACGCCCGAGTACCCGAGCTTCGATCGCACGCCCGCGCGCAACCAGTCGTGGCGGGCCGCCCCCGCGCCTTCCGCCCCGGCCGCCGCCGCCGCCGCGACGCCTGGCGTCGGCGTCGACTCCGCCGGACACCCGGTCCAGGCCTACCTAGTCTGATCTCTACCAATGTTTCTTGTTGTTTTTATGGTGAGTACTTTTCGCTTGAGTATACATTACTTTTTAAAACATACGTAACCGTTGAGGGAGTGCTCATAAATTGCGTAACGCTCCAGGTGGAGGAGGCTCGAAGAGAGCGTTAGAAAATTGGACGTAATTATGCTGAAAGGAACTATGTGGCATGCAAAACCTATACACATAGTTCCTTTTAGCCTAAATACGTCCAATTTGCTTTTCTGTATTAAATGATAAGGGCCTATCACCTACGTCCTACGTCACAAAAGTGTCTGAAGGCAGGAGGGGGAGGAGAGGTCAAAAATGCCGTGAAAGTGCCTTATTTAATTTATGAACGCTCCCTCTCGAGCAAAATGACCTGAGTACCAAAACGCTCAATGTTGGCACAACTGCTCAGGGCAATGTTTTGCGAATATTGTAGCGCCAAAATAGCTGAATATGATCCAATTTCATATTTACATTTAGGTTTCCTCTGGGCAATCGTAACCAGAGCCAAACGCCTGGTAGTCATAGTCATGATTCTAGTAAATCTACCAGAAGCATGGTTAGCACGATGATAAGTCTGGTATTAAACGATGGAAAAAAAAAACATTTGATCTAGAGGCCAGACTCTTAGAAACATTGAAAAGAAAAAGTACTCTTGATTCAATCAGAATCTGGCTTAAATCAAGAACCAAGCCTCTTAATTTAAGCGGATTTCGTTTTGATTCAAGCGAAAATCCGATTAAATCAAGAGTATTTTTCTTGTCAATGTTTTCAAGAGTCTGGACTCTAGATTCAATGTGTTCTTTTTTTCCAGTGAATGCAATTGTCATAAAGAAAACGAAGATTACAACGCGAAGTCACTCGTAAAGTCAGTATCTTTGATGAGATATTTTGATGAATTCTCTCAACGACCTTCAAAAGTACAATTTTTATGACAGAAAAGTCATATTGATATGTACTGGATGTAAGGCTTGGAATTTTTCCTGCAAAATTTTATCCAGGCATTTGTATTAACTGTCAAAATAGAAATTTTGGAACGTTGAAAAGCCCATGACGGGTCCTGAAAGTTAGCGACTTTCATCTGTTTAACGCGTTTATAGACTAAAAAGACCTGCGTTTATGGAGAAAGGAAGTCGTAAGGAAACATTATTCAATGAATGGACAAGTATCGCCTCGAAAGTCCAGCGATTCTTTTTAAGAACGTAAGAAACCCATGAGAAGTCGAGTTAACAATTTGTGATCAAATATTTTCCACCTCCAATCTTCTCTAGCCGTACGAATAAAAGGTAAAAATAATCGTTCACCGACTTCCCATATCCTCGCGGGTTTACTGCACTTCAACCAGATCAACGAGAGCGATAGAGAGAGAGAGAAAAAAAGAGAAAAATACTTCCTTTCGCGGAATCATGAAAACCAATTTCCGGAATCAATTAAAAGCTAGCAGATAAGCAATAACCTTTGAAAGATAACGTTAAATAGTAAGGGATTGAAAGTTCAATCACGCAGCTAAAACGGATTTGATAGGAAAATGGGCAAGTTTTATTCCGAAGCTATTCCAAACGTAAAATCGCTTACCCAGAACACCGAAGCATAGAATTATTTATCTGTTCCTGAGTTGAAATGAGTACTAATTCCATTGACTATTTTTCGGATTCATTGTTCTCAAACGTTCGCAATTCAGCGAAAAGAATATTGAACTTTATTTGCTGTTAATTTGCGTTGCTTGGCATGTCGAAAACTCGCTCGAATTTCTTTAAGCTCCAATTTCCATCCATTGTGAGTCGATCCCAAGTTTGAATTTTGTTTTTGACGTTCTTTTTTCACTCCGAAGTTTAATATTGACTGGGCCCAATTTTCATCGGTTTTAACAAACGCGGCTGATTACTTACCGCTGGCGAAATTTCAAAATAATGAATCTCAGATTGTGCTTTACAGTTTTTCCAACGTGCTGCACAATTTAAATTTTTCATTAGATTCTCTCTGGTAAGCGTGTTTTTTTGCTCTTGACAGGAAAAAGCCTCCAGTAGGGTCATATGGCATGGCAGTGGCGCTTCATGAAAGTTGGCAATGCTGGGCTTCGTCCATTTTAATTTGTGTAAAATCGACATCCATCGATTCCAGCTGAGATAAGGTTGTCTTGTCAAAAATCGATTTTTAATAACGTAGCTATAGGTATTGACAAAACACAAAGTTGCCAACTTGTGACAATCGCCACTGGCCGCGACTCCTTTTTTTGTGGAGATTAAATTTTGGAGTTGGAAATTCTGGTTCTGTTAGATTTTGAAGAAAAATTTTCTGTGCGTGTTTTGCGAGGAGAAGTTCCTGCTGAGTCAACCCGCATTTCTTGTATCTGACACAACCGGAATTCTGATCGAGCCAGGCGTAATTGGACGGTTTAGTGGATGAAAAACTAAATCGCTGAGGCTTAAGTTCTAAAATGACAAGAGGAATGTGTATCACTTGGATATTCGATATTTGGATAGGTGAAATAAATCGAACGATATACGTCCCAAAGATTCTTAATTTTGTCGATCGGAAATTTGAACAAAGGTCGATGAAGCACCAACAGTTTATTGTTTTGTTTTCGGAGAACCTCACTTTTGGTGATTACGCTGTTTTTCAACTAAATACCTCAATTCGTTGCAATTCTGGAGTAAGGGCGTATCTCAAATTCCACATGAGCCCTGAAATCTTAAAGTTACATGGAGAACAGGGCTCATGTGGAAATTTAGATACACCCTCACGACAGAGAAGCGACGAATTCTGGTTAAGTCGACCGTAATTTTGGTTAAGTCAACTCAACAGAAATTTCTGGTTGTGAAGTAGAACCAGAATTTGTTGTTCGCTAGAGCCCACATCCTTCCTCGCAATCAAAAAAGTTCATTTTTCAAGGTGGATTTTCAGTTTTTGCATGCGAAATGTTTTCTCGATACATTCATTGATATACCTTCTTTAACTTTTAACCATCAGGTGGCATGTTTTGGGAAAATCTAGAAAATTTGTCCAGAAAATCCCTCTTTCTAGATAAAGCATTAAGGAATGTTCGTGCCGAATATCATCTAAAATTTTTTAAAAAAGGTAGAAGTACTGTTTCCAATTTACCATCGATCTCGATACATTGAAATTGGTCGCAAGATATGAAAAATGTATACTCTAGACTCTATTTTAAGATTTTGGCAGATGATTTTTGGCACGAACATATAACATAATGATTCATCCATAGACTGAAATTCCGATTTTACAAACATAGTCCGCCTAAGTAATGGTCAGAATGTGAAATAGGTAATCATATATAGATCGTACAGTGGCGAGGCGTGAATGATCTATACTATCGATATTTCCCCATCTGCAGCCTGCAGCTATGGTAAAGAATCGGTTATGAAAGTGTTCGTTGCCAAATCCCTGTTCATCAATCCTTTTCCGTAGGTTTAAGTTTAAGATCAGTCGATGTATCGCAAAGCACGCCACGCCACTGCGATCGTACCTAGAATGCATTCTGGAAAAGCTAAGGATCCATCTTAACTCCTATGCTTTTCAATAAATTGATAATGCAATTTCAGCCTGTAGAGAGTCGTACGATCCAAGTCGAAAGTACTAACGAAATTCGGGATTCGAAATCAAATCGTAAAATTTTAATGTTACATTGTCGATCCCATTATTTAAACAGTTTGAACAGTCCTCCGGTTCGTCCGTGGCGGCGGAAAGAGCCTCACCCGTGGATCGTTTTTTAATCCTTCTCAGTTTTAATGCGAACCCTATCATCGTAACAATCCTTTTATTGCTCAGAAAAATGAATTAAATGGTGGTGTTGCTCTGACAGAGTGTTACCTGAGCTCGCATGTGTGTGTCGCCATTTTTGCGGTCCGAGAAAAGTGGTCGTAATACTTAAATGATTGATGATTTTTTTTCTTTCTTGGTCAATTTGATATTTGTGTTGGTGGGGAGGGGGGTCGTGCAGGGTAGGGCCGGCCGTTTACAAGTTTATAACTTGTAATTAACTGTCATTTTGCTATAAAATGTAAGTTATAGTGGGTCTGTTTCAAGGAAAATATTCTGCTTTTTAATGTATAAATTCCGTTAATTCTCTCTTCAATGTAAAACGAGCTTTGCAAATTACATGAAAGATGCCGAATGTTTTATTTTTATCCGCACTAGTTGTTTGAAGAGCAGATTTTAAAAGAGCGTTTCCAGGTCTTAAACTGGAACAGAGGGACTTAATTCTGAAGTTGCGCAAGATTTCTTTCAAACACCCAATCAATGCGTTGAGGCTTTTTCCGTAACAAAACCATCAGTAATGAACCCCTATTATCCGAGGGACATGTCTTTTCCCTTATAGCTGTCGAGGGGTTGCACTTTCTATACTTCGTAGGAAATATTCGTGCATTGGTCGGTCAGATATCTCATTCTGGGTTAATAGTTTTTTAAAGTTATTAAATGAATGTATAGTTTCTTTGAGAGAAGGTGCCACCTCACTAGTTTACCCCTTCAATGTAGGTAATTTAGTCGCCACATATGCATAGTAAATACGAACATACAATTCAAAAGTAATGCATCAAATTATTATTGAAATACTGTTTATGTATTCATAATACTTGGGAGAAAACTGAAAAGAAATTAAATACAGGGGAAAAATTGTTTTGCTGCACAAAGAAACGTCGTCGGCTATTATCAGAGAACTTCTCTGCTTCGCCTTAGGTAATCCGTCTCCGATCTCTAACTAATCATTATACAATCAAAGTTCTCGTCATAAGTTGAACTTCTGATAAACAGAAATGACGGCCGTAGTGTCATTAGTGAGGGTTGGTGTCTCTATCAGTGAAGAGTCATTTAAAACCACTTATCGAGCAGCTAATCGGCGGTGAGTAATAAAAATACCAACAGCGATCTGTTATATTATTTTTTTAAGTGACTGTTGAAAATGCCATCTCTGATGAATTTGTCACTTTTATATGTAACTTCTAAGACGCTCATTTGAAAGAAGTATTTTAATATGTTCATGTCCGATTTTGTGCTACACTGGATAGCAAGGC